GGGGGGTTTGTGTGTATAAGTGCATGCATGGACAGGTAGGCAGCAGCTGGTGGCAGCTCTAACTTGTAAGACCCCCATTTAACTTATCCTACTGCTCACAGAGTCCAGCGTGGTATCTTGCTCATACATAGTAGGTGCTTAACAAACACTTCATGCAAAGAGCCTGTGGCGTGTGGGGATTCCTGATTCCTTCAATGGGAAGGAACGAGCACTGGTCCTCTAGAGGGCGAGTATCAGTTGCTCCTTCATTTGCTCAGAGTCAGATGAGAGGAGCCAAAAAAAAAAAAAAAAACACTTTTAGGGACTATTATTCCCCCCAAAACAATAATACTTCTAATCCTGATCATGCAGTCCATGGTCCAGAGGAAGGCTGGCTCTCTGCTCGCTCGGCACCTGCTCAGTGCAGAGTGGGTCTGCGGGCAGCAGCTCTCAGTGGTAGCTGTCCTGGCTCACCATCCACACTTCACTGGCAGCTTCTGTAGAATGCCCCGCTTCCCATTCTCCCACCCAGAACAGAGCTGATGTTTCTAGAGTGGTATTTCTGAGGCTCCCAGATGCATCCTGGAGTCCTCCATTCCTGAGTTATCACAACAAGCAGGTTCCTCTTCTGGAACTGAAGTAATGGAACCATGTGGTAGGCATTGTTCCAAATGTGTGAGAGTTTCTAACTTGTTAAACACACCACCCTAGATGATACGGATGAAGAAACCAAGCCACGAGTGGTTAAATAATTTGCCCAAGGTCACACAGCTAGAAACACATGTAGCTGAGATTCCAGGCTGGGTAGGGCGGGTCCCGAATCCATCCACACACTGCACTCCTGCACCCAGCATTCCAAGTGGGAAGCCAGCCTCTCTCCCTCTGTGCTCACTGATGCACTGTCAGGACTTGGTGCTGCCTCCTTCCGCCCCCTGCCCTGGGGACCACTTTGCCTTCTTTAACCTGGGTTTCTGTGGCCCGAAGCTACATTCTGGCAGGTGCGCATATTTGAGTGAATGTCTGTGTGGAGACTTGATTATACTTCATCACACAGATGCCCAGGTCCTCCCAATAGGGTGCCCTAAAATGGGACAAGAGGGTGAGGTAATAGGGGACTCCATGATGAGTGACTGGGAGATGCCATGGCAGTGCCAGGGGGCCAGGAAGTGGAAAGCATCTTTCTCCACAGTAACTTTCCATTCACCCGCCCCACCCCCCACTTCTTGCTGTCTTTCTAATCTGATCTCTGCATTCATGGAGACATTAAACAGATCACACCCTGTGAACATGGGGGACCCCACGGATGGGCCCACTGATCTCATTACTCTGTGTCTTCTCAGCAGATCTGCCGCCCTGCTGCTCATTCAGGCTGGGGCCTAATCACATTAATTGAAATATTAAACATCCACAAAAACGAATTTCAATGAACCCTTCTGGCTCCTCCTCCCAGGCAATAACCGGGAGGTAGAAGCAGACCGTGAAGGTTCTAGATCCTGAGCTCAATTTCCAGTCCAGATTGGTCCTGCCAGTCTGAGAGAGGAGAAGGCTGAGTGGCCGTGGGACATCTCTGAAGTTCTTTCAGTCAGAAGGGATGCAAACTCTGTGATATAAAAACTAAGGGGGAGCCCCATGACTCCGGAGAAATGAGGCTTCAGGCCTTAATTCCCCCAAAAGATTTTCTCTGCCCACCATCCACAAGCGTGCTCTTTCCTAGTCCTCTTCAGCCAAAGCTAAGCTGCCATATATTAAAAGATTTAAGGGGCTGCAGAGATGGCTCAGCAGTTAAGTCACTGACTGCTCTGTCAGAGGACCCTGGTTCAATTCCCAGCACCATATCATGACCAACAACCATCTGTACCTCCAGTTCCAGGCCACCTGACGCCCCCTTCCGGCCTCTGCAGAAATACATGCATATGGTACCCAAACATACACACAGGTAAAACACCTATGTACATAAAGTATAATATCTTTTTTTTTAATGGGGACAAAAGTGGCTGGGCACGCCTATAATCCCAGCACCCGGAGGCAGAGACAGGCAGACCTCTGTGAGTTCCAGGCCAGTCTGGTCTATATAGCAAGCTCCACAACAGCCTGTGTTACAAAGAGACGCCCTGTCTCTGTTCCCAAGAAAGCTGCTGATTTTTACGATTCATGTTTTATTTATATTATTATCCTATTATTAGGGCATGAGTGTGCCATGGCTTGCATGTAGAGGTCAGAAGACACTTTGTGGAGTCATTTTCCTCCTTTAAAATTTTAAAATTACATTTGTTGATTTATGTGTATGTGCACATATACACACATGAACACATGCCACAGTGCATGCGTGAAAGTCGAAAAAGTACTTTTAAGAGTGGATCCTCACGGGGCACTGGTGGTGCACACCTTTAATCCCAGCACTCGGGAGTCAGAGGCAGGCGGATCTCAGTGAGTTCGAGGCCAGCCTGGTCTACTGAGCGAGTTCCAGGACAGCCTCCAAAGCCACAGAGAAACCCTGTCTCAGAAAAAAAAAAAAGAGTGGATCCTCTTCTTCCTTTGACCTTTATGTGGGTTCTGGGGAATCAAACGTAGGTCTTTACGTTTATGTGGCAAGTGTTTTACCCACTGGTCATCTTGCTGGCTTGTTTATTATTTATTTAATCATTTGAGACAGGTTTTCTCTGTGTAGCCCTGGCTGTCCTGTAATTCTACATAGACCAGCTGGCCTCAAACTTACAGAGACCCTTTTGCCTCTGCCTCTGGAGTGTTGGGATTAAATTCATGTGCCACCATGTCTGGCTTGTTTCCTGACTTTTTAAGGATTACCTATCTGTTTGTTTATTTGAGGCAAGATCTTCTGTGTCCCAGGCTGGACTGAACCTCACTGTATAGCCCAGGATGAACCCCTGACCTTCCAGCCTCTACTTCCCAAGAACTTAAGGTTACAGGTATTAGCCATTGTGTCCAGCTTGTGAAATTACTTTTAAAAATGATTTTATGAATAAATAAATAAATCTATGAGTCAGGAAGTGGTGGTGCACACCTTTAATCCCATCATTTGGGAGGCAGAGGCAGGCAGATCTCTTGAGTTTGAGGTCAGCCTGGTCTACAGAATGAGTTCCAGAATTGCTGGGAAACCTGATTGAGAAACCTTGTCTTGAAAACCAAAACCAAAATAAACAAACAATAAATTATGGAGCTAAGAGTGGACTTGGGAAGCAGACATAGGCAAATCTCTGAGTTTATGGCTAGCCTGGGCTACATAGAGAGTTCCAGGTCAGCCAGGGCTACAGTGAGACCCTGTGTTGTTTTGAAATCATTTCATGGGTCTGGGGAGATGGCTCAGAGGTAGAGTCCTTGCTACACAAGCATGAGGACCAGAGTCCAAATCCTTAGCACCCACAGAAAGTGTTGGATGCAGCGCTGAGTCTGCAGCCCCTCACTGGGCAGACAGAGAATGTGCATTTCTGCATCTCTGGGCCTTCCTTGTTGGTCTGGCCAGTCAGTGAGCTCTAAGTTCACTGAAAGAAAGATGGTGAATGATTAACAATGGACAATGACCTCTTGTTTCCACACATATGTACACAACACACGGTTACACAAAGACATTTTATTTAGCCTACTTTACTCAAAATACTATTTCAACATACAATGCATATGAAGTTATTGAGATAGCTTACATTATTTTCTTCCATTAAGTCTTCAAGATCCAGAGTGTATTTTAAATTTCTGGCATATCTAACACAGCCACATCTCAAACGTTCAAGAACTGAGAGACTGTGGCAGCCACACCACCTACAAAGTCTGTGGATTTCATTGTAGTCTCTACCTCTGCTGGATAGGAGGAAGTCGGCCTTAGCCTTAGTCTCTACTATCACCTGAGGGTAACCTCTGCTCTGGCTGGGAAAACATTACCTCTGACAGATGGCAGCTTATCTCTCTCTCTCACCATTAACTCTCTCTCCTAAAAAAACAGATAAACAACCCAACTGATTGCTAACCCAGATGGGCTCCTGGGAAGAGGCTTATAGCCACTAACTGACTCACCTGTGGCTGCAGTTCTGTCTGAAAATGTAGAGACCTGAAGATCGCAGAGAGATCCCTCGGTGGCCTGACATTTAGCTTGCTTCTCGTGCTCTGTCTTTGCTTTGGGGGACAGTTGTTTACAAGTCCCAAGAAGGTCTCTTGCTGGGCACCATCTCTGCGAGCAGGGAAGGCTGGCGTGCACGTGTGGGGCCTGTGTGTCTGTGTGTGTGTGTGTGTGTGTGTGTGTGTGTGTGTGTGTGTGTGCACTGTTGACACAGGCTCCTGCTCTTTCCAGGCAACTATTTTGAGAACTGTGGTTTTATGTTTCACTTACCCTTCTTAATTAGATACTAGAAGAGCAAATCTCTCAGTCAGTTCATCCCCTTTCTCTTTCTGTATTCAGTTGAGAGTGAGAGAAATAATTTACAATTTATGAGGAGCCCAGGGTGAAGAGAAAATTGATCTTCCAAAGGAAGTAATTCCAAAAAGGGAAATTCTGCCAGAGTGCTGGCCAGGTTCAGCATTCTGAGCTTGAGAATGTTCTTATCTTTGCAGAGATTGGCTCCCACCACGCTCTGGGATGCTTTCAGATTTTAGGAATCCAGACCTCCAATATCTAGTGTCTGTCTACAGAACAGACGGAATTCTTGGCTTCTGGGCCAGTGGGAAGGGAAGAAGCCTGCGTTTTTCTACGCAAAGACAGAGTCTGCCCAAGCTGGGAGCTGGATTTTGAAAGACCCTGCGCTAGGAACCTCTTTTGTGCTTTGCTGTAGCTAAGTAAATGCACGATTCGAGGTCGAGTGTAGTCAAGAAGAAACGTTCACTTCATATACAATTCAGCTCAGAAATCAGTCTTTACGTCTGGTTTAAAGAGATCCCCTGGAGACCCCAAATCCAAGTTCATTCGGTTGAAGAGTGGCCTCCACCATGTTTCTATCTGTAGGATTGCCTTCCCTGCCTGGAAAGGATTGGATTTGTACGGAGGCGGGGCCAGAGGCGGGGCGGACAGCGGGGCGGAGCTTCGTTTCTCCGCAGCCCGTCGCCTAGACAACCGACAGCAGCGAGATGGAGTCGTTACTCGGAGGGACCTTGGGGCCGAATCCAGCAACTCTGAGCCCGGAGCAACTGGAGCAGTTGCGAGATTTCAAGGTGCCGTGAGTAGGCGTCCCCCAACACCTGTTCAGACCAAAACGAAACTCCCCAGGACAAAGGTCCCTTGGACAGGGAGGAGGACTCCGGGAGAGGGGAGCGGGGCCTGAGGATAGGTGGAGCGTCCCTGAGCCCAACCAGCCAGGCATTTGAAAGTGCATGGCAATCAAGGAGGGGTCTGGCCGGAGAAGTGACAGCGCATGTAACTCAGTTTTGCACCAACCACCGGGTTCCAATCTTCTCTATCACCACCACCACCTTCCCCACTGCATAAACCAGCGTTTACCAAGGTGGAGCAGGAGGATCAGGAGTTCGAGGCCAGCTGGCTCCACCAAGCTCCAGAACAGCCCAGGCACTATGAAGCTCTGCCTGGAGAGAACTGGGGCCGTTTCGAAGGAAAATTTGAAGACATGGCTTGTCCCCTCACTTCACACCTCCTTCGGGGTTGAATCCTGGATCTGTCTCCCCAGATCTTTGATTCGTGGTCGTTGCTCCTTAGATCCAGACTCGGATTGCAAATGAAAAGTACTTGAGGACCCACAAAGAGGTGTCGCTGCTCATTAGCGGCTTCTTCAGGTAGGTGGTTTGACAGGCTGGCCTTAGGTAGACAGTAAGAACAGATGAGTAGACATTCTAATAGCCACAGGGAGACTCTTCAGTTTGAGGACAGCCTGAGTTACAGAGTGAGACTCAAAAAAAGACACCAAAATTGTTCTCTATTCCTCTGTTTTTTTTTAAAATTAAATTAGACACAAGCTTGTTTTACATGTCAATCCCAGTTCCCTCTCCCTCCCCTCCTCCCCTGCTCCCCACTGGCCCCCCTACCCGATCCCCTTTCTGCTCCCCAGGAAGGATGAGGCCTTCTATGGGGGATCTTCAAAGTCTGTCACATCGTTTGGAGCAGGGCCTAGGCTGAGAGAGTATCCCTCTTTGTGGAGTGAGCTTCCAAAATCCAGTTGTATACACAAATGCATCAGCCCAACTTGGCTTGGACCTCATAAAAGTTAGAACATTTCTGAAATTCAACCTTTCATAACTCTACAGTTATCTCTATATTCTTTAAAACACCAATGTCCATTCATTCAACTATAAGGATTAATATTAATATTTACTTCATGACACCGAGAGAGGGACTGTGGCAGAGGAAGAGAGTGTCCCAACTGTGCAGCCTTTTTTTCCTAGCCCCCTTAAAACATTTTCATTTTTATTAGCACTGTGTACAATATGCATGTTATGTGTGTTATTATTATTATTATTATTATTATTTTGGTTTTTCGAGACAGGGTTTCTCTGTATTGTTTTGGAGGCTGTCCTGGAATCGGCTGTGTAGACCAGGCTGGCCTCGAACTCACAGAGATTCACCTACCTCTGCCTCCCGAGTGCTGGGATTAAAGGCGTGCACCACCAACGCCCGGCGTTATGTGTGTTATAAGTGATTGGAGGCATGTGCATGCCACTCAGAAGACGATGGGGGGGGCAGTTGGTATTCTTCCTCCATTCTTGGTTCAAAAATCAAATCCAGGTTGTGCGACTTGCATGACAAGTGCTTTTATCCACTGAGGCTTCTCACTGGGTCTCTAAACATTTAACTTTAAATCCCCAATCCTGAAAGTAAAAGTATGCATTGATGGCCATAAAGAAATTAATGACTAGCCAGGGGTGATGGGACACATCTTTAACCCCACTGTGCAGACTCTTGGCTCTTGCTTACTTGAGAACACTGTAGAAAAATTACAGGGAGCCAAGGCATAGGGGCTTTGGGGGACTGAGGCAGGAGGATCATAAGTTCAAGACCAGTCTGGACTGCACTAGTGAGACCCTATTTCTAAAAAAAAAGAAAAATATTGAACCAAAAGAATACTGTTTTCCAGATTTGGTGGTAATCTCATGGTCACACCATTTAGAAGGTAGAGACAGGAGGATTTGTGAATTCAAGGCCAGTCAGATGACAGAGTGGAACCCTCTCTCAAAAGGGCAAAAATTAATAGAGAAACAAATAAAACTCCCATTTTTCAGTGTGTCCTAGGTATGTTTCTTCAGTGCATTCCATTGGAATAGAAAAATCTCAGAACCCAGAATATCCAAGTGGTGAAGACACTGAACTTGACACTGGATACAGCACACACCTTTAATTACAGCACATGGGAGGCAGAGGCAGGAGGGTCTCTGTGAGTTTGAGGCCAGCCTGATCTACAGAGCGAGTATCCATACTGTGATGGCATCTTGGTAACATTTTGCTTACTCCCCACTCCAGCAACTGTTTAAAAGATAGATGATGATGATACTCAGACAGAGATTATTTTTTAGTCCTGGTTGTCCTGGAACTCACTCTGTAGACCAAGCTGAACTCAAACTCACAGAGATCTGCTTGCCTCTGCCTCCCAAATGTTGGAATTAAAGGTGTGCACCATCATGCTCAGCCCATTATTATTTTTTTAAAAGCCATCTAAGGGGAGCTGGTGAGATGGATCAGTTAAGTCCACTTGCTGCTCTTACAGAGGACATGGGTTCAGTTCCCAGTACCCACATGGTGACTAGCAGCCTACAACTCCAGTTCTAGGGGTTCTGACAACTTCTGGACTTCACAGACATCGGGTATGCATGTAGTATATCTACATACATGCAAAAAACCCCACACTCATACATATAAAATAAAAATGAATCTTAAATAAAAGACAGCTTGTATTGTTTCTATTTTTGCAAATGAGACATTTAAGTTCACAGATGGGAAGTACATTTCTCAAGCTGCTGACCAAAGAACCAAGTAGCCCACGCCCTGACTCTTCCTCCATATGGTACTGTGTGCTTAGGGGCACCCAGGACTCCTACAGCAGAGTGCTTACTTAGCCATGTGTGAAGTCCTGGGTCCAAGCCCCAGTACCCAGGCTTCCCAAGCCCCTTTTACTTTTCCTTGGGCCTCACTAGTCTTCATATTTTGGCCATTTCTCCAAGGAGTTTCAGATTCACACAGCAGGTAGGGAAGGAGTTAGTGTCTCTGTGAAGGGCAAATTCATTATGGTTGGGGCAGATGATATTATGGGGCAAGCTGGTATGCTGGGGCATAGTTTTAATCCCAGCATGCAGAAGGCAGAAATAACAGATCTCTGTGAGCTCAAGGCCCATTTGGTCTACATTGTGAGTTCCAGACCCAGCATGTCTGTATACTTAGAATCTGTCTTTAAAAAAATACATATATGTATATATAAACACACACACACATATATATACACATATACACACATATATATACATTGGAGTCCTCTGTCAGTGTCCGATATGGGGGTCAAGTTTGTTTTTTTTTTTTTTTTTTTTTTTTTGGTTTTAGGAGACAGGGTTTCTCTGTATTATTTTGGAGGCTGTCGGTCCAGCCCGGCCTCGAACTCACAGAAATCTGCCTACCTCTGCCTCCCGAGTGCTGGGATTACAAATTTGCTTTTTTTTTTTTTTTTTTTTTTTTTTTGGTTTTTTGAGACAGGGTTTCTCTGTATTGTTTTGGAGGCTGTCCTGGAACTTGCTCTTGTAGACCAGGCTGGCCTCAACTCACAGAGATCTGCTTGCCTCTGCCTCCCGAGTGCTGGGATTAAAGGCTTCATGTTTGCATTTTTTTAAAGATTTATTTATTTATTATGTATACAGTGTTCTGTCTGCATGTGAAAACAGACATTGAGGACCCTGTGTTTTCTCTACACTGGCATCCACAAACACAGGATTAAAACACTCGGTGGTGAGTGGGGCCGTGGAGTTCTGGATGGCCCTGTGTCTCTGTTTGTCCAGGAAGTTTCCAGGACGAGGCTGGGTCTGGGCCCAGCTGCTGCACTATCCCTGTAGCTCTGGAAGCCTTCATCTTCCTTCCTTCCCTTCTCCCAAGGCCGAGTAGCCCAGTCAACCCCTTTGCTGCCGTGCAGCTCACCTGGGTGAACTCCTCCTGGCCCCTCTTGGGCTTCTCTCTGGGGTGGCATTCGAAGTATAAGGGCTGGTTTTTGTTTGCCTGCTCTTAATTTCCTTGAGCAGTACCAGAGTGAGCCAGGATCAGTCCAGCTTTGTTCTGGAAACTTTACCCCACCCTGTGTGAAGAGGAAGGAGGAGGAAGAGCTAGATGAAGGCAGCTCTGTTCAGTTCTGCCTGGGCTTTCTTTTCTGCTCCTGACGTCCAAGCCCTCTGAAGCTGTGAACTTCTCCCACTGGAAAAGTTACCCTCTGCTCGGGCTTCTGGATTCTGTGGTTTGTGGCCATGTCGCCCCACATCTCAGATACAGTGTGCAGAACTCTTAATACCTTCAGTCTGGTCCTCAGAAGTTAGAAAAGAGACCAAACTTACATTAGGTCCCCAGAAACCTCAAACTTAGGGCTGGAGATGCAGTGTGCACATGTGCAGGGGAGTCTTCCCAAACTACAGCTCTGGTCTGCCATTCCTTGTCTGGAAAAATCTTCAGTGGCTCCCAACTTTGCCTTTTTACATACAGAAAAGTGATAAATCTTAAGTTGAATAAACTTTCCCCTACATGTGACACTCTGGATGGAGAAACTGAACTTTACAGCACCTCAGAGCCCAAGTGACCCCATTTGATGTAGGATAATGCTCTTGTACACTGTAAAGATTTGTCACTCTTATTGCTGTAATAAAAACACTGATTGGCCAGTAGCCAGGCAGGAAGTATAAGCAGGGCTAGCAGACTAGGAGAATTCTGGGAAGAGAAAGGAGGGACAGAGTCACCAGTCAGACACAAAGGAAACAAAATGAGAGGGCCTTACTGAGAAAAGGTACCAAGACACGTGGCTAAATGTAGATAAGAATTATGGGTTAGTTTAAGTTGTAAGAGCTTGTTAGTAATAAACCTGAGCAATAGGCCAGACAGATTATAAATTATATAAGCCTCTGTATGTTTATTTGGAATTAAAGGGCTTTGGAACCAGGCAGGACAGAAACTTGCATCTACATTATTATTATGATTTCACACAAAGTCTCACAACACAGGCCAGGCTGGCCTCAGTCTCTCAGGTGATGGCGTGAGCTATGTTGCTGGCTTCTAACAACACAAATCCATTACCCTTTGTGTCTATGTCCATGGCATTCTTGAATCCCTGCCACTCTGTGCCCACCTCCTTCTACTCGGTCCTATATCCACTCTGTGACTGTCTGACTCCAGCACACAGGGCCGTTCCTATTCCCTCTTTCTGGTTCACAGTGCCAGTAACGCGGTGTCTTGCGCTAAGCGCACATGCACCCCCACTCCCGCTCCGCCACCTCCCATCGTTAGTCCTGGAATTCTCCTTCACTACCCGGCTGTCTGCTGACCAAACCAAGCTCTCTAGCTTTTCCCCAAGCCCAGGCAGACACCCCCAAGTGTTCTCCTGGACCCTGGGAATACAATAGTAGATACAACCAAGCTGCTAAGCTCAAGGCAGTCACACAGAGGACACAGAACTGTTTCCATCTCTGGGCCTTGGTTCTTGCCATTTTCCTGAACCTGGGATGTTCTTGTCCCTCATACTTTATTCTTCCCAATCAAATCCCATTTGTACCACAAGAGTCCCTTCCAATCTAATTACTCTGTGAAGGGCTTTGGGGTCCCACTTTCAGTAACCATTTGTCTTTTTTTTTTTTTTTTTTTTTGGTTTTTACGAGACAGGGTTTCTCTGTATTGTTTTGGAGGCTGTCGGTCCAGCCCGGCCTCAAACTCACAGAGATCCGCCTGCCTCTGCCTCCCGAGTGCTGGGATTAAAGGCGTGCACCACCACCGCCCGGCGTAACCATTTGTCTTAGGGTTTATGTTTCTATGAAGAGACACACCTTGGCCACAGCAACTCTTAGGAAGGAAAACATTTGACTGGGGCTGGCTTACAGTTTCAGAGGTTTAGTCCGTTGTTGTGGTGGGGAGAGTGGCGTGCAGATGGACATGGTGCTAGAGAAGGAACTGTATCTGAATCCGAAGCATCAGGAAGAGACACCAGGCCTGGCTTGAGCTTCTGAGGTCTCAGTGACACACTTTCTCCAACACCGCACCTCCTTATGGGCCTATTCAAACCGGCGTGCTATTCTTCCCTCCCAAAGCACTATTTAATAGTCATTTAGCAGTTACCTGAGGTTCCTTGGCCTTTTAGTAAATTTACCTGTTTCCTTTTGTCTGTAAGATCTTTGAGGCAGGGCTATATTTTTCACTTACCAGCGTGCATGCACACATACGTGTGTGTGTGTGTGTGTGTGTGTGTGTGTGTGTGTGTGTGTGTGTGTGTGTGTGTGTGTGTGTAGGCCGGAATGCTCTATACCTCATTCACAGGGTCTCTCACTGAACCCAGAGTGAGGCTGGTAGCTGGCAAACCCCAGTGATCCCGAGGCCTGCAGTCCTCTCAATGTTGGGGTTAACGGGCACCAGGTCAAGGCCCAGCTTTTGAACCGGATGTTGGGGATCTAGAGTCAGGTCCTCATGCTTGGGCAGCAAGTGTTCTTTGCTGTTGAGTCATCTCCCCAGCCCTATCTTTGTTTTCTCTTATTTTAAACTCATTCTCATATATTGTGGTTACTTACTGTAACTCATACTCAAGGTGTGTCTAATTGAATTGAAGGAGGAGGGAAACAAAATTACTGAAGCTTGGGTTTTCTCAGCAGGGGAAACTTTGGCCAAGAGAGCACCTGGAACTGGAGGTCGTTGTCAGGCCACCACAGCCAGAGGCCAAGCAAACACTGTATTCCTTGGGCACACGAGACCTGGGCTCTCTCCTTTATTTATTGTCTGTATGAACTTGGGCAATGATTAACTTTTTTGAGGCTTGTTTTCTTTATATGTAAAATGGAGATTATAATTGCCATTTTACAGTGACATTATAAGCAAAATAATATTAGTGAGTGTTTTATGAAGCCTAGAACTTTCTGGGCTGTCAGGCATTTCTAGCATCCTGGTGACATCCTCGTCACATCTGTGTAGCCCATCTGAAGTCTTTTTTTTTTTTTTCCGAGACAGGGTTTCTCTGTGGCTTTGGAGGCTGTCCTGGAACTCGCTCTGTAGACCAGGCGGGTCTCGAACTTACAGAGATCCACCTGCCTCTGCCTCCCGAGTGCTGGGATTAAAGGCGTGGGCCAGCAACACCCAACTCCATCTGAAGCCTTTATCCATGGGTTAACTTCCTCAGACCATTCCAGGGTCACATTTCTGTTTTCCAGAGAAATGTTTCTGAAAAGACCAGACGACATCCTCGAGTTTGCTGCGTGTGAGTACAGTGGCACTGGGATGTCTCGCGTGCCTGGGCAGGAAGCAAGATGGGGGGGGGGGGTTAGAGTTGGGCAAGCCCAGGACTTTGTGTGGGGCCTGGATCTTCACGTGATGTCCCCTACAGGCACTGTTTTTTGAAGGCTTTTTCATTCCCCCAACTTTCCCTCAGAATGAGGCCAGAGAGGCACTGAGGGAGGACTTCTCTTGGTGAGGATTAAGAACTTTTGAGAGTCCCAAAGGAGAGCCGGCCAGTCCTAGTCCATGGGGGAGGAGGGCCCTTAAAGTGGTGCCTGACCCAGGCTGCACATTAGAACCACCGGGGGGAGCGTTTTAAAAAATACTGATGCTCAGGCCCCACCTCTAGAGATTTTTATTTAATTAGTCTGGGGCGGGGCCCAGCAGCCGAGGTTTTGAAGGCTCCCCAGGTGGTTTTTAATGGACTGGCTGCCAAGATGGCTTCGGGTCAAACAGTGTGGTGGTTTTTAATGGACTCGGCTGCGAGATGGCTTCGTGTCAAACAGTGTGGAGTGGGGAACTGGGCGGGGTCTTGGGTGCGCTTAACCCTGGGAGCCCATAGCGTTTGTCCTAAGCACTCTTTGGCTGTGCTGCCACAGCAGAAGCTGACTGTGACTCATATTCTTCCTGGTGTAAAAACCCTCTTCTGTCGCCATGCTGTGTGTGAGTCTGGTTCTCCTGGGAGAGGGTGTTCTCAGAAACGGACTGCATTTCAGAGGCCGGAGTTGGGCAGTTGAGTGGAGAGAGACCAGAATACTACTTGGTGTTTATTTGGGTCCTAAGATAGACCCGAATCTGAGCACTCAGAATCCCTGAGTCCTTGGTGACTCCCTGAGCATCAAGAGGACCAAGAGCCCAGACTCGGCAACCTGCATTAGCCTTGCCCCGGATGGTTTCCTGGCATTCATGAGGGCAGCTGCCAGGTACTGGCTGCGAGTGCCGAGATTGCATTGTAAAGTGAGGACCACCTGTGAATGCAGCTAGAACAAAGCATCCGACTTTGCAGTAGAGTAAGTTGTTGCCCAGGCGTTCCTCTTCAGTATAGATGATTTCGTTCTGATTTTCATCCCAGACTATTTCACGGATCCAAGACTTCCCAACAAGATTCACATGCAGCTAATTAAAGACAAGAAAGAGGCCTAATTAGCAAAGCCACAATGCTCAGCTGCCGGGAGAAGCCAGAAGGAAACCAGCCTTGGGTGGGTGTTAGCCTCACTTCTGTGAAAAGCAACACAGGCTTATGGGTCCAGGCTGGGAAAGAATGCAAGCCGGGAAATGGGAGATGTGGTACAAGTGTGCCATTTTCCTGACAGTTTAGGAGGCTTAGAGTGCCGGTGTGTCAGTGACAGGATCTAGTGGTATGGAGTCCCGGGGGGGAGGGGGGAGGGGGGCGTGATGGGGGATGGAGAATAGTCAGCACCCAGGTCCTCTGAGCCTTTGAGGTGAGGAGTGCTCAGATGGGGCCCAGTTTCCCTCCTACAGTCTTTCCACTTAGGGCCTGTTTATCCATCCCCCACCCCACCCCGCAGGATGATTCCTCAAGCCATTTTGAAGGCTCGAGAGTTTTCTTAGTAGTTTGTTTGCTTTTTCTTAATGTGAGGTGGGAAAGGCCACCCTCCTAATCTAGTGAAATCACTTCTGTTTTGCAGGGTCACCTGGAAGCCTGAGAGCCCAGTTGCCATCAGTCTGGGTTTCCAAGCTGTGTGGAACTCTTCCTCTCACAGATGCTTTCAGAGCTTCTCATTAAATCCAGGCCTGCCTGCCCTCTCTCTGTCTCGTTTGGAGGGAGGGGGTGTGGTGCATGGAGCTGCATACCTGATTCTGACCCTTTTGTCCTTGAGGTGGTCTGGGGTTTGCAGTGTGTGTCAGGGACCATTCACACTCTAGCCACTTACAAACCGAGAACGGGACTGGGGATCCTAAGAAAACCACAGTTGGTTGTGGTGGGATAAAAACAAGTGAGCCCATATCTCAACATCCTCCTCCCATGACCTGCCTAAGTGTCAGTGGTGGCTTACTTTGCTTTTCATAGAAGCAGCAGAGAGAGAAATCGGGCTGGGAATGCACCATGAGAGATGGACAGATAGTGAAAACTCAAGAGGGGCCATGAATGTGGTGAAACACACCTGACAGGCCCTGGGGAGGGGGAGCGCTTGGCTCTTGGAGATTCTAGGAGTAAGCTGTCTTTCTATTTGATGACTGGCTGAGAGGCAGCAAGATGGTTCAGGTGTTGGCATGAAACCCTTCGCACATTTAGGAGCCTCTCTCTCTCTCTCTCTGTGTGTGTGTGTGTGTGCGCGCACGCGCGCGCTGTACACCTTTCAGGTTTGTGGCCTTACTCTGGCTTCTGCGTTCTGCTGGCTCTACTGTATAAAGGAGCTCTCGTGAGTTTCATGTGTCAACATCACCATGGCAACAGAAACACAGGTTGAGTGTTATTTGTATTCCCTTGCTCCTAGCTGTCCTCACTTGCAGCAGTAAAAAGGGCAACGGAACAGGAAGACTCAGAAACCACGTAAGTCATGAAGTGGAACCCTCAGGAGGTTGATTTGTTTTTGCCATAGCACAGGCTAACCTCGAATTTGCCATAATCCTCCTGCCTCAGCCATGGCTTTGAAAGTGCTGGGACTGTGGGCATTTGCTGTTCGATGCACCTGCCTTTACAGGAGTTCATTGTGTGCTTTCAGAACTATACTGCAGCATGTGAGTGGTCTTTGCTTAGGAAGTACAAAAAGGGGTACTTGGGAGATAATGTAAGCTAGAGGACCTGAGTTCAAGCCCCAGAACCCACATTAAAGCACACACACACACACACACACACACACACACACACACACACACACACACCCCTCAGGTGTGGTGTGTGCACTTGTTATCCCAAAACTGGGGAAGCATAAACCAGTGGGTTCCTGGGCTTGCTGGTGAGCCAGCCTGGCCTAGAAGGTGACTCCAGGCCAATGAAAGACCATTTCAAAAACAAATGAACAGTGCCTCAAGAATAACACTGGACGATGTCCCCTGGCCTCCATGGATGTTGATATGCACACACACACACACACACACACACACACACACACACACACACACAATCAAAAGTCTGGTGTGGTGGCTCATCTCTATAATCCCAGCACTCAGAAAGCTGTGAATTCAGACCAGCTTGGACTATAGCAGGTGGTCCTGTCTCAAACAAACAAACAAAGTTGGAGAGATGGCTCCATGGTTAAGGGCACATACTACTCTTCCTAAGGACCTGAGTTCGATTCCCAGCACTCATATCAGGTGGCTCACAACTGTTCATAACTGCAGCTCCAGGGGCATCTGAAACCTCTGACCACTTTGGGGCCCTTCCATTCATGTGCATGTACATACTGCCTTCCCCCCACATAGACATAATTAAAATAATAAAAGCAAATCTTGAAAACAAAACAAGCTTTGATCAGAAAACACAGTTTAGATGCTCCTGGGCACATCCAGTGAGAAGAATATACAAAGAAGGGGAGCATGGTGAATTTTGAGGTGTCTGCTTTATAGCTGATGACATATACAATGCCTCATTTTTTGGGGGTTCCCTGATGGAAATGAGGAATGTATGTCTCTTTGTTGTTGTTTGGTTTTATGTGTATGAGTGTTTTGCCTGCATGTGTGTCTGTGAATCACAGTAAGCCAGAAGGGGTTAGATGCTCTGGGACTGGAGTTACAAACATTGGGAGCTGTCATTTGGGTGCTGGGAATGGAACCCAGGTCCTCTGGAAGAGCAGTCAGTGCTCTTAACTATCCTGTTTTATGTGACTTTTTATGTTGGTACACAAAGAAATAGGTTTCACTGTGATATTTGTATATATGTATGTGTTAGTCAGGGTCCTCTAAAGGAACAGAACTGATAGAATGAATCCATCTATATACATTAAAATGAGACTTGTTACAGTGTCTTACAGGCTTGGACCTGGCAGTCCAACAATGGCTGTCTACTTGAATCCTAACCCTGGCAAAGGAACACCTCAGCAGAGGGTAAATGAACTCACAGGGACAGTGTGGACAAGCAGGAACAGAGCAAAACCTTCCTTCTTCTGTGTCCTTTAAGTGAGTGACAGCAGAAGGTATGGCCCAGATTTGGGGTGGGCCTTCCCACCAAACAAGAAAAACTCCTCACAGGGGTGCCCAGCTGTTTGGAGTTTAGTTGATCCCAGGTAGAATCAGGGTTAACAACCACAACAGGCTCTTACTCCTGTTACACTCCGGCCTACTTTCCTGGCACACCTCATGTCTTTCAAATCTTCCCAAGAAAAGAAGAAGTGTGACACTTGGTGAAGGTTTCTCTGTGTCCTTGGGACAAGAGGCTCTCTTCTCTAAGGTTGCTTGTGGCCTGGGGAGATGATACTCTTTCCCCACAGCTTTACCTGGACACTTCGTTTGTTCATTTTTCTTCTTCTTTTCTCTTTTTTTCTTTTCTTTCTTTCTTTTTTTTTTTTTTTTTTTTTTTTTGCTTTTCAAGACAGGGTTTCTCTGTATTGCTTTGGAGCCTGTCTTCTAGAACTCTCTCTGTAGACCAGGCTGGCCTCTGCCTCCTGAGTGCTGGGATTAATGGTGCAACCAACACCTGGCTTGTTTTTGCCTTTTGAGACAGGTTTTTTTTGTTGTTTGTTTGTTTTGTTTTGTTTTGTTTTTTTCTGCTCTAGTTGTCCTGTAGACCAGGCTGGACTTGAATTCAGGGATCTGTTGGCCTCTGCCTCCCAAGTGCTGAGATTAAAGGCAGGTGTTTACTGAGTCCTAGTTGAATGTGCCATCACGATTCAGTATAACACAACTGCAAAGCAAGTATATACACTTATGACAGAAGTAGGTGTGTAGTATAGGACGAAGGAGAAAGAGCACCAGGTTTGACTGGGGGACTGAGGGAGGTCTCCTGGAAACTGGCATGGGATGGGCAAGAAAGAGCTTTCCAGGTAGATTTGGAGAGCAGTGGGAAATCAAGTGCCCCTTACTCCCATTCCGCTGAACAGGAGGTGGGGACAGGGCCTGTTTATCACCTGCTCAAGTTTCTATCTACCCTTGTTTTTTTGTTGCTGCTGTTTGTTTGTTTGTGTGAGACAGGGTTTCACTGTGTAGTCCTAGCTGTCCTTGAACTCACTCTGTAGACCAGGCTGACCTCCGAACTCAGAAATCTGACTTCTTCTACCCTCCTGAGTACTGGGATTAAAGGTATGTACCACTACAATTGGGCTGCACCTTTTTTTTTTTCTTGAGACAGGGTTTCACATAGTCCAGGCTGTCCTCAAATTCGCTATGCTGGCAAGATTGACCTCAAATTCCTGCTCTTCCTGTCTCTACCTCCTGGGTGTTAGGATTACAGGTACCACTACATCCAGCTCAGATTATAAACCTTGCTGACAACAGATTTGTCCAGGGCAGTAGTTAGCAAAGCCTTAAGTATTTGATCATATGGGATCTAGGCCAATAAACACAACCATACCATTGACATTTCCTTATTTTCAAGCCTCCCTTGCAGCTAGGATCAGGCCACATGCCTGTGCACTACACGTAACAGGACGCTACAGGTAACAGGACGTTGAGAGGTTCTAGGAAGGCTCTTGCTTTCGTGAGTGGGGCTGGTACAACAGATGCAGCACTTGCTTTTCTTTCTGATTTGGGCCTGAATGTAATGGAGCCAGGCAGGCATCATGAGAACATAGGAAACAACACAAAAAGGCCAGTCTTCTGAAGCAACAGGGAGGGAAAATCGGAAGATGCTGGGCCCTGGCGACGTCTTGGTAGGGAAGGAAGCAATGGGAGGAGACAGCAGAGAGAAGGCAAACCATCAAAAGCCAAAGCCTTCGCTAGGCAAAGGCTACATTTTTATCTTTAGATGGAGAGCTAGCAAAGAATTTTAAATCATGTAAGCTCCAGGGGAGAGATTTGTTTGTGTGGTGTGGAAGAGAAGAAAATAAGGGGATGAGGACTAGAAAAGGCCTGTGGGGAGACTTGGTTCACCACTGTCTCTCGCCGGCACCCTTGCAGTCACCAGTGTGCCCGCTGGGAATCTGCTGAGTTTCATTACTAGACAGTCTCCTTGCAGCGCTAGGCATTATTTTCCTCAGTAATTCTGGTGGCAGCAAGATTCAGAGTTTCCAGGATGGTGACAGGGACTGTGGCCTTTGCTGGCTTTTCAACCCACCAGCCTCAGGGGCCACATATGTTTGCAAGAAGGCCTTGTACTCCCAGTGCATGTCTACATTTCTGGTAGGAGTGGTCAGAGCCGCCTGCGTCTTTGCACTTCCTGTTCACAGGTCAGAGTCACGTGACCCTCCAGGAACTTAGAAATCTAAGGGGGCCAAAAAGAGGTGGAGAACAGCTGTTGGAGCCCCCTGTACTCTCTGACTCATTCTCCTGGAGGATCTGGGAGGAACTTGAATAGGCATCTTCTCTTTGATGTGGAGATCTAAGCCATGGCCTTAAACAGGCCCTCCAGGCACTCTCCCACTGAACCACATCCTCGGCCAAGAGGCACCTTACAACTCTCATCTGAATGTGCCACTCTCTTGCCTAAAGCCTCTTTTTGAAAAAATATTTCAAATTTTGTGGGCATGTGCATACAGGTACCTGAAAAGGCCAGAGCTGTCAAATCCCCTGGAGCTGGGGTTACAAGTGGCTGTGAGTCACCAGATGTGGGTGTTGAGAACTGAACCAGGTCCTGTAAGAGCAGCAAGTAATTTAGTCACTGAGCCATCCCTCCAGCCCCTGCCTAAGGCCTTATTAGTGTCCC